AAAAAAAAAAAAAAAAAATTTATACCTTGGGGATATTATTCCTTGACAAGAACACCGCGAAAGCTGCTACTATTGTGCTTCAAAGGCGAAAATCGTGCACCTTTACAATAGAAAATAGGATGAAATTATTGTGCAATTTTGTGTTTTCATAATAAAATAGATTGCAAAAGCGGATGAATTATAGTACAAAATTATCCTAACAAATTCCTAATTGGATTTAAAACTTCGGCAGAAAATACTAACAACTTTAAGGAAGAGAAAATTAATAAGTTGAACAAGATGGCTCTTCGATTAGTTTTCAACTTATCTTTCACCACATGAGCAGATTTAATTCTCTACCAATGAACTCGAACACCATTTTGAGAAACCCTAGCGGATTAGCAAGATGAATGTTAACCTTAAGGAGATTTTCCAGCTTTGCCGCTGCCATTGCTGCTGCCGTTGCCGCCGATGGTGGTTTGTCTTCTCCTCATAATCTCCGGTAACAAGGAAGGCTATTTGGGAGAGAGAGAGTTGTGAGTGTCATTTGAGTGTAGTATATCAGATGTAGTGTATTATTAGGTTTATACTCTTATTTTATTACGTCTAAAAAATAATAAAAATTTAATTAGAGTGGGTCTGTTTTTAGCGGGTGTCCCCAAAATTTGGGGGAAAAGTAGAGGGAATTCGTAACCATTGCAACAAATCAAAAACTACAAGTAACCCTTACCATAGATAGGCTTATTGTCACGGTCGTCTAAACCGTTGCCATAGAAACATCTATTGTAACGGATTTTTGACAAATGCAACAGTTTAGGTGCTAAACTGTGCCGATAATACTTATGTCGCCCAAATTCACACTACTGATTGGGATTGTGAAGCGGTCGATTCAATTATAATTACCCAACCTGAGTCGGGGTCGATTCCATAGAGATCTTATATTGGATATGGTATATATCTAGACTAAGTGTATGATGTACCCAAAATGCACTCCCACATGTTTGGTTGTTTCTCTCTACTTCTAATAATTATGCTATGTTTGCAAATGATAAGCTAGAGAACGATATTAGTGGTGTTGTTATTTTTCAAGTTTATAAAAGATCTAGGATCGTGACTTCCACCTACGTGATTACCTAACGGGTTGTAGGTTCTAGAGCAAGTTTGATTGGTCAGGGTCGTAATATAGGAATCACACGCAATTAACCTTTCAATACCTCTCGGTGGCTAGAATGATTTTGCCCAATTTGGCTTTCTGAAGTCCAAATGGGTATTGCACAAAACAAGTGATAAATGCTCAAGTCAGGTATTACTATCTCTAGATTCAACCATTTAATTGGGGTTATCATTTTTTTGAGTTCACTCTTATTCCTTGTTAGCCAAGTTTTCCTAGACTTAGTCTCACTTTCTCAAGTAGAGTCCAAGTCAATTAGGCATTAATCAATGTCTACAACCATTAATTCTTATATTCAAGCAACAACCAGGTTGAATATCACTAACTCAATCACAAACAAGCCCTAATTCAAACACTTACTAGGTACCCACACTAGGGTTGGGTCACAACCCTAGTTGGAAATTTAGCTACTATCACGATCCAATTTCCCTTCTGTTGGGTTTCGTGATATCACCTAGTCTTAGGGACTAGGTATGCCTAACTCATACTGAAATACCTCATTAATAAGTGAAATTTAACAGTCTTGAAGCAGAAATCCCTACAAAATTTTATAATTCCCAAAACCCGGTAGTATAAGTCATAAGCTCTACAGAGTTTCGCTATAACTTCTAAACATAATCGTATGGAAATAAGTACAACAATGTGAATATAAAATAGGAAGGTGACTCAGATGCCCGTGAACGCAACAACATGGCTACCTTTAGTCATCTAGGCAAGAATCCGCACAACTACTAGTGAACAATACCTGTATCTGCACAAAACAAATGTACAGAAGTGTTGTATGAGTACACCACAATGGTGCCCAGTAAGTATTAAGACTAACCTCGGTGGAGTAGTGACGAGGAACAGTCAAGACACCTACTAGTCTAATAAACAGAACATGATATTTTTATAGTGACTATGAGACACGACTAACAATACAGTAATTTCAATAAGGAAAGAAAACAACAAGTACTCAGCGGAACACCATAAGGAAAACACGAAAAGGTAAGCGATGATATAACCCAAATCCGAAATCACAAATACAGTAAAGACAAGTCATAACTCAACAACTCCGGTAGTTTTCACCTTAAGTCTTAAAAAGCAAGTGTCAATCCAATAGTCAAAACTTTCAAGTGATAAAAATGTTTCGAAATATACTTCCTTCAAATAAAGGTTCTTCTCAAAAGAGTTCTTTCAAAATAAATGCTTTTCGAATATAATCTTTACAAAAAATTATTCATCGAATATAAGTCACCTTGTGACACCTTATCTAATAATCATACAATACTAGTCTCAATACCTGAACCCTAACATTTGACATCTTGTTCCCTCATCACACCTCGTAATCATACTAACAACTCACGTGCCCAAAGGACTCATTCTCACATGGAAGGAAAATAACAAGGGTGTGTGTTTATACTCAGAAATCTCAAGGAGCCTCCTATCCGATAAGGGTGCTTAGCCATGTGTATGCTTGTGCAAGTGTCCTAACATAGGTCATACCGGCTAGTAAGTATAAGGAATAGAACAGATAGCACATATAATATTTACACAAGAATATGATCAATGAAAATAACAGCTTAGAACATAAATGTGTAGAGGATCTCCTAGGATAGCGTCCTGTAGTCCAAATCTTAAATAAGCAGAGGATCTTCCGAGATATAATCCCATAGTCCAAATCGTAAATATGCAGAGGATTTACCAGAATACCGATCAGTAGTCCCAAAGTAAATATCAAGTACAGGGGGGATCTCCCGGGATATCATCCCGTAGTACCAATATAAAGGTACAGGGGGATCTTCTGGAGTACTAATCCGTAGTCCCAAGGTAAACATGCAGGGGGGATCTCCCGGAATGCCGATTCATAGTCCCAAAGTAAATGCACAACAACAATAATGACAATAATACATAGTAAAACAAGTAAGTCAACTCAAGAACTGTAAACCACGGAGAAACTATAGGACCAGCTCACAAGGAATTACCACGAAAAAGAATACCGACAAAAAGGGAACAGTTCAACAAAAAGGAAATCTAACATGTAGCAATGATCCATAATATACAAGTCAATAATAAGGAAATCAACACAAATCAAGTAGTCCCAAATAAAGGCAAGTCAACAAATATATAGGTTATCTAACTCCTTTTAAGACTGGACAATTACGAGGATATTCGACAATTCAATTAAGAAAAGATAATCTTAGCTTCACTTAAGACTAAATGTAATGACCCGACTAGTCGTTTTGAGCATTTGCACTTTGCTCGCCAGTTCTTGAGCATGACTATCCACATATGATGTATTATAACTTATGTGAATCATCTATTTTGGTTTTCAGGTCAATCAAAATAAATTTGGAAGAACAATTCTCAGCTTGAAGCTTTAAATTTGAGAGGTTTGACCAAGTTTTGACTTTTTAGTATTCGATCTCAAAGTTAGATTTTTATGATTTGGTTAGCTATGTTAGGCTATTTTGGACATGGGAGCGCGTCCGGAATATATTTTGGAGGTCCGTGGAAGATTTAAGCCTGAATTTACAAACTTGGAAATTTGGCGTTTTCTGGTCGGCAGTGGAAATTTTGATATAGGAGTCGGAATGAAATTTTGGAAATTGGAGTAGGTCCGTAGTGTCATTTGGGATGTGTGTGCAAAATTTCAGGTTAGTCGGACGAGGTTTGTCAGACTCTTTGATCGAAAGCGGAATTTGGAAGTTTTAGGCTTGAATCCGAGGGTGATTTGTTGTTTTGATATTGTTTTGAGTGTTCCAAAGTTTGAAACAAGTTTGATTGATGTTATAGGATATGTTGGCATGTTTTGGTTGAGGTCCCGAGGTTCTCGGGTGAGTTTGGATGGTTGACGGATTGGTTTTTTGAACTTAAAGAATGCTGGTGTGCTAGTGTTCTGTGATTTTCGCATATCTGGACGAGTGGCCGTAGGTGCGAATGGTCATTGCAGGTGCGGAGTTTGGGTTGTTTGAGGTTCATCACTGATATGGAAGGGTTACCGCACCTGCGAGCCCGCATGTGCGGCTAATTGGGCGCAAGTGAGGAAAAGGAGAAGTTAATGAGAAATCGCAGGTGCGCATCTGGGACCGCATGTGCGAGGAAAAAGACTGCAGGTGCGGTATCGCTGGGTAGAGCATATAAATAGATGCCTTCGTGAATTTTTGGCTTATTTCATCAATTTCGCATTCGGGTTAGAGCTTATGGGAGCAATTTGAAGAGGAAATTCAAGGGAATTTCGTGGAGGTAAGATTCACGAAAGAAAAACTCGTTTCTATGGTGATATATTACTTATTAGACATGGAAATTATTGGTTAAAATTGGGGGTTTAGGGTTTGAAATTGGAAACTTTGATTTAGGCATTTGAGGGCTCGTTTGTGGTTGGATTTTTATGTATTCGGTATGTACAGACTCAAGAGTGAAGGGAGTTTCTAGTTTTGTGATTTTTGTTGGATTCTGAGACGTGGGCCCGGGGGTCGGGTTTGGCCAATTTTGGGATTTTTTATATAACTTGGTTATTTTCGAGTGAGCTTTGTTCCTTTAACATATTTTGATGGTATGAATCCCATTTTGGTTAAAATTTGAGCAATTGGAGGCCGACTAGAGTTTAGACCGGATTGAGGTAAGTAATGATTGTAAATATTATCCTAAGGGTATGAAACCCCGGATTGCACATCTTTGTGCTACCTTGAGGTGACGTACATGCTAGATGACGAGCGTGGGATCGTACACTATTGGGGATTGTGACTTAGTCCATCCCGTATGACTGTTGAGTCGCGTATTTGATTGAAAACTATTTTGATATCATTGTACTTTGGAAAGTATTACCATGTTTTGGGTTGAATGCCATATTTGGGCCTCGTGTCATTTGTATTGAACCCTTAAGAGCTTTTTACTACTATTCCTCACTGTTTTGACTTCATATTTGTACTCAGTCATGTTATATTCTACTATTTTCGTAACTCAACCATATTTACTCCGTTTTGATATTTTAAAATATTTTGTGCTGAGCATCATGTTTTACTGTTGCCCGAGGGGCAGTTTTTGATTCATGTTATGCCCGAGAGGCTGATTACAAGTTATTGTGAGGTAGCCCGAGGGGCTGGTTCTATTGATATTATGCCCGAGGGGCTGTTTATATTTCTACCATTTTTACTCACTGTTTTTATCACTCGTTTGTAACTATTGGAAGATGTTTTAAAAATGAAAGGGTTTTTTTTACTGAAACTATGTTTGATTTACGAAATAAATGATTATTGTACTGTATTTCCTAAATCATTATGATGTGGTTTACGTACTTTCTTACTGCTCAACTTTCATTTAATTTTATTACTTACTGAGTTGGCGTACTCACATTACTCCCTACCCCTTGTGTGCAGATCCAG